AGGTGAGAAACACACTTCAACTATTTTGCCGCAACACATACAGATAAGATCTATGAAAGATCAATATACTAAACCTTATGGAATTCAAAAAAACAAGTAGCACGCTGTTTAGTAACTTATTATGCTTCAAGAGGGTGATCATGGCTGTAAGTGGAAGGTAAGCTGGATGGGGAGGGACAAGGAAACTCACAACACAAGCGCGATTGAGGTTGGCTTTTCGCCATGTCGTGTCCGGTGACCGCTGTTTCCATAACTTCATTAACGGCGAAGTTAGAGAGGAACGGTGACAGCTAGCATTAATTCATTATTCACGTTAGCTACAAGAGGGAAACACTTCAACTATTGTGCCGCAATACAGAGCAACAAACAACCGAGGCACGCTGGCTGACTCGCCAGTAACGGATGGGCATCGTTCCGTAGAGCTAACAGCCTACTATTGTGCCGCAGAAAAGATTATACTATGCCTATGAATGAGATCGTGGTTGGGGGAGTGTGCTATGCATGTGGGGAGGTACAAATAAACTCACAGCACAAACGTTATTGTGGTTGGCTCCTAGCCATGTCAAGAAGTGTATCCAGCCAAATGTGTTCATCGTCCTTCAGTCAGCAACCAGGGAGGCGAGAGGCTCTAACCGAGGCCATGTTCATAGTAAGGGCCCCATTCCTCTTGACCGGGTTATCGCTGGCCACTCCCTCTTCTCCCATCCGCACCTCCAGCGCGCAAACAACGCATATCGCGGGAGTCAGTGGGTTGGCATGCGCAACACGTGGTCCAGTCATCAGAGCCTGGTGCGTGAAATAACAATGCTGAGCGATTCGCTTTTTCTGCATTATAAACCAGGGGTCGGACACCCTCATTGCTCACAGAGTTTCCGCCAGACAGGAGACAAACTGCGAAGGCATCGGTGATCGAACGTAACTAGGCTCTTCATGTCCGCTTATCTAAGGGGCCAGGTTTCACAGCCGTACAACAGGGTCGAACGTACGATTGCATTGTACACCACCCTTCAAGGAAAGTGTGATGTCATGCCGGCGCCAGAAGTGGCGAAGGTTAGCAATAGCGCCTCGTACTTTTGTCATACGGTTTGTGACTTCGTTCTCAATTCCAACGGCGCTGACACAACTGCCTAGGTAGTTGAACTTTTGAACAACATCTAGCTGATTCCCACCAAGGGTCAGCGCAGGAAGTGGTCCATGCCAATCTTAGAGGAACGCTTTGCACTTCGAGGGTACAAAGCACAGCTCGAAGCGGTTGACAGGCAGTGCTAACCTGTCTAGTGTAGATTGGCACGTTTCTGAGCTGTCACAGATAAAAGCAATGTCGTCACCACAAACCAAGTCAAGGATTCGTTCAGCTGGGAGCAGCTCCACACTTAACTCGCGTCTTGTGAACGCGATCTCCATGACTTCGTGAATAGCGAAGTTGTAAAGGCAAGTTGATAGCAGGCATCCTTGTCTTACACCGCTGGAGATTTCGAACTGTTGTGACAGCTTGCCGTAAGCTCTCACCCTGCCCAAGTTACGCGCTTAAAGCGCTTACATTATCTTTACATACTTTCGGACACACCTGTCCTTAGCAGGCAGTCCAAAAGAGCACATCGACCTACCGAATTGAAGACACCTTTGATGTCGAGGAACACGAAAACGGTGGGCCGCCAATATATGTGACGGCGCTCCAACTGACGCAAAGTGAATGTGTGGTCGATGCATCCCCGACCTCAACGAAATCCGGCTTGCTCCTCACGAATCTGCTTTTCATGATTGCCAGTCTGAAGGATTACGGAGGCAGGCAATTTGGAGAAAATCAAGATCAGATTGCTTCTCCTATTTTTGCCACGTTTAGAACACGAGCCTCCTTTGAAGATCGGAACGATAACGGAGCGGCCCTAGTTGCTTGGGACAGTCTCCCACACTTTACCAGTACTTCGTGTAACTAATTCAAAAGAACAGGGCCCCCGAATTTGAGCAGGACTGGATGAAGATCATCTGGTTCAGCGGCTTTTTCCAACTTCGACACTTCGATCTCACGTTTAACTTGAGTGCGAGGGTGGATTCAAACGGACAGTCCAGGGAGCAGGGCGATCACTAGCCGGTGAGGAATCTGATAATTTCGGCCGATTATACTGCTTTTCAAAAGGCTCAGCCCAACGCTCTAAACGTTTTGACAAATGGATAGACTGTCCACACGTCATAAATAGTTTCACTGACGCCAGGTCCCCTGCTGCCCGTTTCCCGTGTCGGGCGGAATAACTTCCGATGGTTACCAAGGGCGGCGGCCACTTCCATCTGATGCACGATGAGACCAGGATTCGCGGTCTCTCTTCAGGCTAGCACCTAGTTTTGCTCTGTGGTCCTTGCGAGTCTCATAGTGCTCAGTTTCAGCCGGAATGTGCCAGCGAGCATCGATACGTTCTGGAGACGGCGAAGGGGCCGGGTGTCCATGTTGTCTATTAGACTTATCACGTGAGTATTTGGCTGCTGCTAATAAGGTCTGGTGAGCATGCGACTAGTTACCTTCAACTGTATTCTGTGAGCATTTACTTTGGTACACATTCAGCACATCTGGCTTAGCCAATTGGTGGGTGTCTATGCACTCACAGCATCGTCGAGGGCGTCCGAAAAAACGCACCTGCATATCAGCACATACAAGTGCATAATAATAATAATAATAATAATAATAATAATAATAATAATAATAATGGGTCAGCTGTACGCCGTAACGGCGCTTCGCTACCGTGCGACCACCACCTGTCGCACGTGGGCTGAGTATACCTCGAGGATGCCCACACCTAAGCGGATTCGAACCAGCGCTGCAAGATTACGAGACGTGCCCGTTACCTCTAGGCTACGAGCCGGTATACAAGTGCATATTCAGCGTCTACATCGAACGACAGTTTTGGTCGCACATCTCCAGTGATAACTGATTGCGATGTGATCGATTTGCGTCCATTGCTGGTTTGTGGCTGATGGGCGCCATGTCACCTTTCGACGGGTGCTGTGTCGGAAGTTAATGCTCGCAAGAAATAAACGAGTACCTTCACACAAATGACGTAACCGCTAATGTTATCACTACAGAAGCCTACACCATGTTGGCCTCCCAGATGAAGCTCATAAGTGGACAATTTCTCAACCTGAGCGTTCATCTCCTTGGCCAGCAATACAGTGTCCGTGCTTCTTCTGTGCCGAAGGAGCTCGTTCAGTTGGTGATAGAAGTCATCTTTTACCGAGTCGCCACATTTTGTATAGGCTTAGGCAGCGATGACAACGAGACGCCTATTAACACCGTGCGACCTCAGAGCTTTAAACTAGCCAGTCAGTCTTGCGCACATCCAACTACTGATTGTGATCCACTCAACCAGTGCCGCTTCAGCCCGGTGACCCAGGGCAATACCAATGCCGGCTTGGTCGGTATTCGAAGTTGCATCGTCTCCGGATAGGCGCAACGAGAAAGCACTGCTAGTGTCATCTGATGGACCTCGCAGGGTGAGCACAGAGATCAAGTCTTTTGTAAGCGGGTTTTCGATAGGCAGCAGATATCGATAGAGTGGTTTTCTACTATTCGGGCAAGTGCTGTCTGTTGACCTATCTGTAACGATGTGCGTACGTTGAGGCATGCCAATTTGATGGAGACTCGAAGGCTCTAGTTAAAAGCCGATGAACGGGGTTCGGCCACTTTTATTAGTCATATGCTTGTCGATAGGATAAAAGCGACGCTCCTCGTTTTCATGCGAGTTGCTACTAGAATACAACCGCCTATTAGAGCATGGTGGGGGTTGAAAACAAGGGGTATACACGTGAAGTTGGAACGGGACGATAATGGTGACAAAGAGTGAGAGAGGGAATAAGAGGACGGGAAGGCTTGAGCAGTAGCATCCCAACCCCTATACACCCTGCACGATGCAGCAGATAGGGCACCATTAATTATCCTCTGCGACGGCCAGAACACCAAGAATTTGCTTGGAGAAAGATTCATCGTATTGCGCTTGCAGGATACTGTAAGTTTGCCCAAGCCTAGACAGGAGAACGATTAGGGTTCACAACCAAAGCCTTTGGTCTAAAATCCTGGTCGTAAGGCAGTGGGTTTGACAGTGGACTACAATGAGCCCGTTCTAAGGAATATGGATCCACCGTCACTCCATCCCCCAACCTGGAGGACCAGGAGGCTGTCTTTGTCTGGCGTCTAACCATTTACCAATCTGGTAGGAGTAGCTCTGAAGGTGCTAAAATATCATCACTCACCAAAGCTCAGTGGATCAGAGGCACGCAAACCATCGCACCACGGTAAGGTGGCGACAGCTTATCATTAGCCGCCACTCTGCCCGAACTTTGCGGATAAATCGCTCAGTTGATGCTTGCGTATTCCTCGGACACACCGTACATGATCTACCAGTTTCAAAGGGCATTTCGGTCTACCAAAATAAAGATATTTTTCATGTCTATGAACTCAGTTGTGGCGCGTTTTCGGTATAGGTGTGGATACTACAATGAATGACGGAAAGTAAAACTATGATCAGTGCAGCTTCAGTTCTGTCACCCACATTTATGAGGCAGTTATTTGCGTGTGTTTAAACATCCGCAACTCTCCACTTTCTCACTCGTTTCTACATTCAGACCGTGGTATTTAACCGTTTGCTCATCGAACTTTTTCATTCGAGCTATCACTTGCTACTCAGCCAACCATTTTTTGTATCAGCCTGTAGGAACTGGCAGATGTCATCTTCGATTTCATCTTGTTATTCAGCTTCCTTTGTTTGTCTTGCCACCTCACACATTATGCCCAACCCGTGGCCTTAGGGATCACAAGCCTGCCTTGTAATCTGAGAGCGCAAGTTTGAGCCTGTGTAGGGACCGGGTGACCCTCGTGAGTAGCCTTAGCCCACTCGCGACTGGTGGTGGTTTCGCGGCAGCGAAGCGTCGGTACTGCGTACCGGCTTGCTGCTGATGCCTTTCTTTTCTTTCTTTTTCTTTGTCACCCGTTACAGTACAAGTATCTCTTTCAGGATTTTGGTCTGGTTCTAATGGTACCTCTGCCATTGGGCGACCTTTACTTGGAGGCACTCGTTCCGGTTCAACCATCACTCCACTGAATGAAATGCCTGGGTGGTGTCAAGATTCCCCGGCTTTGAGCATGGGACCAATCGGCGGAGAAGGGAACTTTTCTCCCTGGGAAAACCTTGAGGCTGATACCACCACATTGCAGTGGAGCTCCTCCACCTCGACAGGTGCACCACTTCTCCCTTCGATCATCTTGAATGGTACTGATACCCTCTCCCAGCAACAGACATCATCGAATTCAAACACTTCTCAATCCTCCCGAGTAAGTTTTAACTGAGCGGCTAATTTCTTCAATGCAAACTATTTTGCTCTTGACTTTTAGGAACTGGATGCTATAACTCCTTCATCATCGGGCTTGTTTACACTGCGTTCCCGGTCTGCGCATGCCATTTCGCGTGTACGTGTTGCATGTGCGTCAGCTTCTATCACAATGTGTGTGATTCGCTTGACCCTTCCTCCTGTTCCCTTAGGCATCTTTGTTCGATTTCAAATGTCCGCGTCTCTTCTACTCGGGCATGCTTGCTATTGTCTTTGTTTCTGTTGCCTACCGGTCATATTACTTGCACATGTTTATTACGTAACGACACAGCTAGGCTAAATCTAGTCAGGACGCACAAACTGTATCTTTATAAGACTACTGTTGGCTGTATGTTCCTATTTTGGCAGAAAATAGTGAATCGATTTTTTGGAAAGCAGTATAATGCGCAAAGCGAGACACACAACTAGCTTTTTACACTTGCAAGCGAGGAGTAAAAACGACAAAGCATAACAGTATCCTAAACTACTGAATACTTAGCATAGAGAGCGAGATGATAAAAAAGCTGTTGCTCCCTTGTAGGTGGATCGGGCACATGCGCGGTGTCACGTCGCTGATCCTGTGCGGTGGCAGCATATTGCAGCTGCGCCACATCTTATCTGGGTGCGATACGTCCCCTGGACCCGTTCCAGTCTCTGCACCTCACCTACTGCGATCGGGCAATAGGCGGGTGGGTAGCACTCAAGCACCTGTTAAGATCGGTGATGGCAATCTCTTCACTAAGTGCAAAAGCTTCGTCTAAGTGCCCAAAGCAGGCGTAGTCCGTTTGCGTACAGGCTATTCGTGTTGTTACAGACTTTAGGTCATGGTGTGAGAGTACACCTAGATCCTTTACGGAACTGTTCAGATGCAACAAGTGGCCGGGCAGGGTGTACCCACGCCCATTGCCATCCCTCCCCAGGTTCATAGACGAGGGCTTGGCCGGGTTGATCGGTAGGTCAACTTCTGCAGGCCACCAGGATAGGCAGTCCAGGTCCTGATGAAGGAGGTCACAGTCGCCTGGAGAATCAATAATCCTCCAAATCTTCAGATCGTCCGCAAATAATACGCAGGGCGACCGAAGAAGCTGAGGTACTTCCTTGACGTGGATTAGGAACAAAATGGGCCCCAGTACTGTGCCTTGGGGTACACCTCTTACTGGACGAGTACCAATCCGTTAGGTGGTCATCCACCTGAACCCGCCGTCTTTTCCCAATAACAATCAGTGGTCCACTGATGCAGTGCGCTGCCAACACCACACATCCTCAGCTTGTGGAGCAAGACCTCATGCTCCACTTTCTCGATAGCTATACTGAAATCAATCTAGATAACATCCACTGACTTCCCCGGTTCAACGCTTGCAACCATCTCTGCCTCGACAACTGCAGATTGGTGAAGCACGACCGACCCCTTCATGAAACCGTTCTATGCCGGCCTTAGGAGATATTTCGACTTCAGCAGCTGGAGTAGACCCATTTTCACAATCTTCTCGAGCATCTTCGCTAAAACAGAAATGATACAAATCGGCCGCTAATTATCCACCTTGCGTGGGTCACCGCATTTTGGAATCGGCTTCATTACCAAGCACTTCCAGTCGCTCGGTAATGCACCCTCGGACAGCGATCTGTTGAACAGATCCATCACGGCGGGCGAGATGATGACCGAGTAGAAATATAAAATTAGCGAATGAAGTCCATCGGGTTCGGCAGGTTTCGTGCCGAGTAGACACCGCAACTCAGGCCCTCGAGTTCAGTAGGGGCCGCACACATCTAGCTCGCCATAGGCCCATGCCCACTGATTGATGAAGATAGTGCTGGACACTCGAAAAGTGGGGTTGTTAGTTTAAGCTTGTGTGTATATAAGGCACAACGCGTGTTATTAGTTGCGGATGATGGAATTTGGTGGAAATGTGAGTACTGACCCTTTAAGAGGAATACGGCTAGTAAAAGAAATTAAAGTTATTATAGTATTTACGTAAGTTGTACATGTGCACCCATGTTCAATCTCCGATTGACAATATTTTGGCCATTTCCAGCAGATAATTTTGATGGTATCCCGCGACAAATTTTATCACATCAAGTTGATCGAATCTGCTCGAAACCTTTGTGCCCAATTCTTCTTTTGATACTATCTAGAGTTCATTCAGTCTTATTTGACATCTCTTTTCAGGAAAGAATGTTGGTGCATCCTTTCAGCAACACTTATCGTGCAGATTTAGTGAGGTATCTGATGAGTCAAGGTTTCAGGAAGGAGGATGTGCACGCTGCTCTCATCGACTGCAATATGGAGCCTGAACGTGCTCTCCACGAACTTCGTGAACGATGCCACCTGGATGGCTGCCAATACCCTGGTGGAAACGGGACTTCGCAGTTTCAACCCCCCAACAGTTTTACTGCACTCGGATCCCAGATACCGTCCAACTGTGTCAACTCAACCGCTGGTCCCGGCTTGGTCACTTCCATTCGAGGCACATTCCCTGTAGCACCTGGCACCACCAGTTCCACTAACCAACTGATGTCACTGGGACCTCAACCAAATCAACAATTGATACGTCAACAGATTACACAGCAGGTGAGGAACATCCGCATTCCTTAGTAGTATAGTCAGCAGTCCATCAAAAAGACAGCCAAACATAACCATGGAAATCACTAAAAGAAGACATGTTGAACATCATATCAGCATCATGGCACATTAACTAAAAGTGGGCAACACACTTCAGCTATTGTGCCGCAGTATAAAAAACAGAAGTATTTTTTGGTTTTTTTGCACACACCATTTTTTAATATTTTTGGCGTTTTTAATCATTAAGCATCAAGTATCCAACTCTAAGCAGTTATATATACAGATCCTCCACTGCTTTCGATTACGAGCCATATCCTGAATTGTTTCCAGCCATCGGCACTCCTCGACCTTTGATCCCTAACCGGGCAGACGTATGCATCCAATGGTGGCAAGACGTGAAGTCAACGGTTTCATTTGCTGTTGCCAGGTGGATAGTGGACCACCACGTGATCTCTTCCATTTGAGTCCTGCACGAGCAAACAGAGCGCGATAGGGCAAACACTCAGCTGACCTACGCAGGACATGACCGAGTCATCTTAACTGGCGCAACAAAATCAGCTTGTTGAGGGGAATACTTGCATTCCCTAAGACACGTCTGACTATACTGTCACCAATGTTTTCTTGACACCACACACAAGCAATTCTCCTCAAGCACCCGTTGTCGAAGACAGAGAGCCGGCTCATGTCGTCTACGCCAATCGCCTATGACTCATTTTCATATAGCAACACCGCCCGAACAGTGTAAACACGACTCTACCAAGAGGGAGGTATCCCGGCGATGCCACAAGTGCTACAGGTTGACAAATGCCGACCGAGCTTTGGCGATGCGAAGAGAAACTTTCCTTCTAATGGTACCACTAGTAGACACAGTTGCCAAGGTAGACAAAGCTATCCACATGTTCAAACTGTGTACCTTCAGTATTGGGCACGGAAACAGTTTAGTACCAATCCTGAAGCAGAACTTTGCACTTTGACGGGGCAAAGCACATTGCGTACCTAGATGCCTCAATTGCCAAGCGGTCTAGAATGATTTGCATGCTTGTGAGTCCTCACCAAGTAGGGCGATATCATCGGCGTAATCTAAGTCGGTTGCTCGCTTGCCCGGTAAAAGCTGTATACCAAAATTTTGGCAACCGTCTAGAGCTCTCGGCAGGATGTCTTCAATCGCAAAATTGAAGCGGAACTGGGACATGGGGCAGCTTTTCGTACACCGCTATTGACAGCGAAGAACGACGAAATCTTGCCATACACCCTCACTCTGGCAGAGATGTGGAACTACAGTGCGCGTAGGATGACATTGTACTTTTCTGGGACACCGTTGCTTAGCAAACAACGCCATAGTGCGGGTCGATCAACCGAGTCAAATGCGGCACCGATGTCCAGGAATGCAACGATGGTAGGCGTTTGGTAAAGGTGGCAGTGTTGCATGATTTGACGGAGTGTGAATATCTAATCCACACACCCGCGGCCAGGTCGGAAGCCAGCGTGTTCTTCCTGGTACTGGGATTCGCGAATGGGAGTTAGTCTACGGAATAGAGTAGATGCCAATAGCTTAGCAACCGAATTGAGACTAAACTCCCGGTGATTGGTACACGAAGTGCGAGCACCCTTCTTAAAAACCGAGACAGTAACTGACTCGCCCCAGGAAACAGAAACCTTTTCTTCATGCCAGCTTTTGGAAAACAATGAGGTTAGCTGGTTAATGATAACTGAACCTCCATATTTGAACAGCTCCGGAGGAACTCCATCTGAGCCGGCAACCTTGAATCGCCTTAGGTATCGAATCGCGATACAAAGCCGCTTTGCTGGGTGGATCAAGTGTGACAACCCAGGGCGGGCCATTAGGTTCGCAGGGGATATAAGTGGAGGGTGAAGGCCAATTGAACTGAGAATGAAAATGTTCGGCCCATCAGCCCAAGCGTCTCTGTAAGTTGGCAATCGGCGAACCATACGCCTCGCATATAGTCTCGCTGACACCAGACTTTCTGTGATCAGTGGATCGAATGCGCTGGAAAAGTTTGCGAGTATTGCCAGAGGGCAGCGGCCTCCATTTCCGAAGCACGCTGGGACCACTAGTCTTCACGGTCACTGCTTAGGCTTTGTTTGAGCTGCCGACTGGTTAGACTCCGCTGGGATATTCCTGCGGCGGTCAAATAAATCCAAAGCGCGCATGGAGACCCAGGCCTTCATAAAGTGCTAAATAAGACCACAGACTTTCTGTCCGGAAGAGATCGTAGTCCTCTGCATGCACGTCCAGTGTTCATCAATATCTTGTGGTTGGTCGCAGTCCTCATTCCTTACAAGGGGCAGTATGATTACGCCGTCCATGTTGCTGTGTCTATCAAAAAACAAATGTTTGCTACGTATCACTTCGTATGCCTCAAGTGCGGTGTTTTCCTCGAATTTTGCGTTTAGCAAGGCTCTTTTGAATCATGAGTATGGGATGCGCATGGCTTTTGTGATTACTGGCATCTACGACGCATATCTGCTATGGTTGGCTCACCACTTGAAGTGTGTAATTTTCTACCACTTGGGTTTTCACCACTCGTGCTAGATGTGACAGCTACGAACTTAGCTACACCGTTGCATTCTGTCTATCGCTTCCCCTTGTTATTCTCCCAATCCGACAGTTTCCGGAGCCCTACTCTATCTTTAATTCTTATTACTGGTGCATACTTCCTAGCCGTTGCATCCACGAAAGTTTGGTATTCGAGTTACTTGATTGCCTCGGGGTTGAGGCTGGTAAATCTCGCTCACTACTTCTCGTAAATGTTTAATCCACAGGAACTACGACTCCTGCTAGTGTGTGGCCTTCGCATTGAATAACATTAGCGGTCGTTGAATGACACGTTTCTCCTAGCCTTATACGCCATAATCCCTGCTTTGATCGGTGTGTACGGTGTACTCACATGAGCCCAATTATCCCAAAATTATTTTTTTTAACTTTTGCCGCCGATGACGAACCCCAAGATCTTTCTGTTTCCATCGATGCATTTGGATTTCGAACGTCGTGACTAATAGATTTCGTCTTATTGTTCTCTTCCTCACAATTGTTTACTTGGGTGTCACTGTACATTTTCAGTTACGATCCGCTTTGAATCTTTCACTGCCCAACTCTTTGGCCAGCAACATCGCTAGCAACCAGTCATCATCTGTGACTTCCGGGAATTCGCTTTTGGGACAGCCACCGCCGCCCTTGCTCTGTAGCAATAGTATGTCGCCAAACACTGGGCTCAATTTAAACATGCCTGGCTCCACCTACTTACCTCATTCCAAGAATACGGCTAACTCCACTCCACGGTTTTCTTCTAACTTTATACCTCTACCAAAACGGTCGGATCGCCAAATGTCAATCATTGCTTCCATTCAGGAATTACACAGAAAGCACCAGGTGAGTGCCGCGCCCTTTTTGACTATTCTGTTACACTCAACTTCTTTGCCGGCCGTAGCCTTAGTGATCACAAGCCTGCCTTGTAATCCGAGGGTGCGGGTTCGAGTCTGCGTAGGGACCGGGCGACCCTCGTACGTATCCTTAGCCCACGTGCGACTGATCGTGGTTGCGCGGCAGCGAAGCTCCAGGACTGCGTGCCGGCGTATCGTTGATGCTTATTTTCTTTCCTCCCTGCCTTGTTCGCGATAGCGATTATTCTCGTCATATAACCTCTGCCCTTCCTCCTTCCTTGCGTGCGAGAAATCGTTTTCCTTCTTTTCGACCGAAGATTTAAGTTTCTGTCTATTTGTTCTCTGTCTCTCTTCCGTCTGATTATTCTTTTCTTCCAACCCTCTATGTTACATACCACCATTGTCTCCATGGTGACGCTCGTCATGGCACCTAAATCTATATTTTAACGCTCCGCTCATATTGTATTAGCTAAACATGCACGCTTGCTCTTTAGGACACAATAATTCTTCAAGACCCTTCTCGTTCTTGTTGACGTTTCAACGCGGTCTTTCGGCTCATCCATTTGGACACTCCCCAAACGATGGTTACTATCAGTTTTGGATTTAACCGACCCATTCTGAACTTTCCGTTGCTTGTTGCCTTGTTCCTGTTATCGGTCACTAAAGTTGCAGTCCTGGGCTCCCATCAATTCCGACGGTCTTTAACCTCTCCGGCTTCCTCTGGACGTTGATTCTACACCTTCCTACACTAGCGTAAACTGTGACTGTGATTTAACATTTCTGTATGTTCCTATTCGGATCCGTATATTTTCTTGTCCTCGGTATCCCCGCCTCCTCGTTAGCTTTTTGGGGATTCCTTTTGCATCTCTTGGTCATTTGAGCACCTATTTGAATCTGAACTGCAGCAGCCATCGTACATCAAAATCCACTCATCTTGCTCCTGTGCCCTAATGTGCAACAACCGAAAGTCACTTAGTTTCGTTCTTTCTGTATTCTCATCGCAAGTGGTGTTTATTGCGATGCATCTTAATCAGATGTCTAAGGGAGATCACTTGTAAAACAACCTCATCAACAATGTGCATTCAACTTTACACTTACAGATATTCCTCAGGAAGATTACGCTTTGTGATGTTTATCCCTTAATCCACTTTCGATAGTGCGGTGTCGTGTACCACCCTACCTAAGTGATTAGCAATTTCATTTACTTCGGAGGGCTGTCTTCGGGTTGGTGGTTCAACGGATGAAATTCTTTTGCGCATTTCTAAATCTCACAAAGCTATTACTCCTGACACCAATGTGACCCCGGCCTCCGTAAGGCCGTTTGTAATGCTGCGGTACTGTTGTATATCCCTCATGAATCAAAACATTGTCTGTGCAACTTTACTATCCATAACATTAATGAACTTTTTAGGCGCTGCTTATTTGCGACGACCTCCCATTGGTCGTTTTTCATTGTCGCGTCTTATGCCATCTTCCTCTGCTCATTTTCCCGCACACGTTTTCTTTGTTCCTCTGTATAGGACCATCTCGCATTTGAGTCACATTTGACTACTCCAATTCTCCGCCCGAGTTCTTAACTACCCGATAATTGTCGGCTAGACTTGTTTGCACCTGATTCACTTTCCGCTCACAAGATACTCTTCGCAACTGTTCGAGCCAGCTAGCCTCACCTTAGTCTTTAATCTAACTACGCTTCGTTCACTCTAAGCTGAGCCGAGCTACTTTGTCTCCGTCTCGTATTTAATTTGCGTGCGCGACGATCATTTGGTCTGTCTACTTGTGTCTTGTCAATCGCGTTCATGTAAACGACCAGCTACCAACACAGGTACCGGCCTTTCTGCTGTATGACTTCGCAAAAGAATATCTTCGGAGCCTTCCTGGTGCATGCTGATATCATATCACTTAAGTAACGACGTCATTCGACAACGAATTTTCAAATTGGACTACTGCCCACAGAGAGTTTTACAGTCTGGTCGTTTGTTTACGCAGCGGTTATTCCACTATGCTCTCTTATGGATGGACTACGCACAACTCTGGCTTGGTGTCAATGCACTGACCTCAAGGTTCTCGGTAGAACGCATTCGTTTGCTGCTCATGCTCGCAAAACTTTCTGCTTTGTGAGGAAAAGTCATTCTGTCAACCGCAAATGATTCTCGTCCTTTTAGGTTATCTGTTGGTCTGTAGCAGCCTAAATCACATTCTTTTATATGCCGAACAACCTTTTTGTTGTGCCAGCTGGGTGGTTCGGGATTATTCCGTTCCGGCGAATCGTTCGGCGGCAGTGTTCCAGGACGTTGTGGGTTTTCTCCTGGCAAGCGTTCTCCCTATAAAAAGCCACATGTCCGTTTAACAACATTGTGACGTGGCGGATGCGACTCGCCACTAAATAAATTCACTGTCCCTTGGCTCTCTGAGTGGCATTGTAATTTAAGGGTATGTTGGGCCCCTGTTCTATGCGGTTCTAAAGGCGTATGAACCATTTGTTTGGTCACCGGCTCCCAACAGGTTGCGAAACCCTTATCTCGCCCTGCTGCCTTGTAGGTTAGATCTTGCATCAAAGGCTCGGGGTGGGGCCCCCTAAAACAACCCTCTACTTCGGCCTGGTCAGCGGGGTAGTATCTCGCTCACTGACGAATCATGGATCGATCGTCCCCTTCTCTCCCCCAATAAACATCAAAACCTGCGAGTAGAAAAATAGACAAAAGATTTGTTTGTTCTCTTCATTTAATCTAACCCTGTTTTTCTATTCCGCACAATGTCTGTACACAGATTAGGTATATAAATATATATATATATATATATATATATATATATATATATATATATATATATATATATATATATATATATATATATATATATATATATATATATATATATATATATATATATATATATATATATATATATATATATATAATGCCCCATGCTGAGGCTGATGTTGCATTCTTGATGCTTTACCGCAGTTGGGCTAAACCAACTTACACTTAAACTAGGTCTTTTAAGCTGAATAAATTTTATTCCACTTTATTTGGTTTGTTCTGCCTACCTGAATAATCTTCTATAAACTGGCCCCGTTGCTTACGCTAATTGCGCTTATCCTCGGTAACTTGGTTACGTTTGTAACATTTTTAAGTAACTTGTGGACATATTTTCCTTACTGCAGATTCGTTGCCAACCAACTTATTTCATATGCTAATTTAGCGAAGAGTTATCCCACCGTATGTGTATGCACTATTCGATTTATTTCATTTCATCTTGTCGTTTCAAGTGATTGTCTGTTGCTTGATATCCCCGGTGTGGCTGCGCTTGATGTGCATGTTGACAAGGTGCCTACCTGTCTATTACCCACTACTTCGTCCATACTGGATCCAGCAGACATTTGGTCGTTGCTGGAGGGGATGGGGTGCATGATCCTTGTGGCCGTGTTAAGATCAGTGGTTCCATGCACTCAGTGTGAAGCGGAATACGGTCCAGCCACCGCCTTGTATGCGCTTGATTCCTCAAATGCAGCGTGCTTGTATTTGCCTATGAAGGAGTGTGGGCTGGCTCCGTTGATGAAACGTGGCTCCCATCCACATGCCTCCCGGTCTTATTCCTTCGGGTTTACACTGGATATGGGTTGTGTGGTTGTAGCTGTGGGTGGTGCAGCGCAAGCCACCCACGGTTCCCTCTGTAGGTTGTCCATTTGCCCTCCGTTAGGTGCTCATCTCTGGTTACAGAGGTATGTGGTCAGTGACCCTTCGGCCTTGATACGCGCCGTGCAGTATTTGATGGCTAACTAAGTGACAAGCCCAGAACTCCCCGCGCTCTGAGACGCCAAATGAGGAAATTCCTGGCTTACACGTAGTGTCCAGAAAGCATGTGACTCGCGGTGGAGACACTGTCTACTGGCCATGTCATGGAGTAAACACTAAAAAATAGCTACACACCCATAGCCCAGTTGTGGCATGGTGTCCCGAGGTGGAGGTGTACGCTATCAGGAGCGTACCTAGGTTGCGAATTGGGAGATGCCTTCTTTGTGGAGGCAACATACTGATTGTCAGCGAATGCTTATTCATCTCGCTTACAAAACGAGTGGAACTTATTCGCTATTGCCTCCACAAAGAAGGCATCTCCCAATCCGCAACCTAGGTACGCGCCTGATAGCGTACACCTCCATCATGGGACACCATGCCACAACTGGGCTATGGGTGCACAGTGTGTAGCTATTTTTTATTGTTTACTCCATGACGTGGCCAGTAGACAGTGTCTTCACCGCGAGTCACATGCTCTCTGGACACTTCGTGTAAGTCAGGAATTTCTTCATTTAGTCGGCGTTTTGCACTTCAGTTATCTTCAGCATGCGAATACCTGTGGATGAATGTGCCTTGCAGTTGCCTCCAGTTCGACTCTATCATGCAACAACAAGCTAAACAAATTGGGCTGGTTACGGTGTTTCCTTCAACTGTTAGGTAGCAAATATCTACTTCACTCTATTTGTGGTCGTTTGGCGTAGTCGCTGGATTGATATGAGGACCATATACTATTGGCTGTTAGGAATCTAATCCTGGCTTTGTAACGCCGGCCGACTAGCGCTTAGCTCAAGTATGCCTTTGGTCCTCAATTGTTCTCTATATTTTGGGATAAATCTCATTTTACTAGTGATCGGTTAGTTATGTTCTTCACCACACACAATGTACACTTAGCCTAACCCGTAGTCAACGCATTACTTTTTCCAATCCCTCAATACTATGCCCATCTTCATTCATCCTGTATGCTAACCAGAGCTGATTAACATCTCAGCTATTGTACCATGACACATTTCAATCAGACAGTGATAAACAGCGGACAATAGCATCCCTTATTTTGTTGTACTTCAGGAATATGATCATGGTTAGATGTGCCCGTTAGCAACAGAAGTAGAGGCGAAAAACTCTTAGTGCAGATGCCACTGAGCTCGCCGTTTCAACAAGTATCTTTAACCAAACACGCCCATCTTCTCGGGTATTCAAGGGACACCAACCGAAGCTAAGTTTGTAGCGGGAGCATTCCTCTTAACCCAATCATCATTTAGCCTCTTCTCTTTTTTCCAGACCCCGATTGCACAAACAGTGCATGCCGCTGGACTCGATGTACTCCCATGCGTTACACATGGCCCAGGCATCGGAACCTTGTTCTTGTATTGACGGCACAGTGGTTCACCTGACCTTTGTGCACCGCAAACAAGCTGCTGCTTTCATGCAGTCTTCTTGCTTGTCATGTTCAATCGTATCTCCACTTGCCTCTGGTCTGTGGAACGGCTTTGTGTCGGCCTGCATATGTTTGTCACATTGTTTTACGATGGGCACTCGCGGTTTCATAATCACAATTTTTTGTATGCATACATTCGCTTGCCTACCTCTTCAATATGAGGTTCGGACTGCAGATTGGGTACTTATCAGTAACACTATTTCCTACAAAACTATTTTCCAACTCTTTTGCTTATTGCTTGGTTACCAGATGATTTTTGCCACCAGGCTACTGTCCGTTTTTCATATTCATACACATATGTTTGTGCTACAGTGCACTGACTGCAGAGCTAGGATACCAAACCCCATACACTTCTGCAGTTTTACTACTCACAACTGTTCATCTAGATGTACACTTTATACGCACAGACAGTAGCTGTTTGTGTTTCTGTCGTAAATTTACCCGTGCTGCCATTATTTAAACCAACATTTCGCCCTTCTCTAGAGTATCCAGCAACAAGTGAACGTGTACAGAAACAACCCCGCTATGTGCTCTCAGCCGCAGTATGCCGATGTTTTCGCTGAATTACAAGGTCAGATTCAACAAATTGAGGCACAGTTGAGAGCCAAGCAAGTCCAGTTAAACATGGCTTACGCACAAGACTATGTGATTTCTGCCCGCGGACAGCCATTGGCCAACATCACAGATCGCTCGCAAACCGGTGGGAATGGCACCTCTTCGATTGGCTCAGCTCCACACTGCAGGGCGGTGAATCAGGATCAGCTAGTGCAACAGTTCATGGATCTACGCGTACGATCGGGAACCTCAACCTGTACGTTATACTGATTACTTCGTCTGTTGCGTAGTTTCGTTGTCCTTTTTTATTCTCGAACTGTGATATTGGTTGACATTGTGCTTTTGTCCATATTGGCCGGCTTGCTGTGGCCTCAGCTTCAAAATGCCACCTTCTTGCTGTTGTTTAGCTGGCAGGTACGAGACCCCGACCAAATGTCTCAGTCTCGATGCTGTTGAAAAGCGGGTTGAATTAGCCTCGTCATGTTAAATGGACTTCCACTATATGGGTTGTCGATCTGGATAGCTGACACGGCAGCAAAGTCCAGCCTTTCAGTCACTTACGTCATGAGTTATTTGCTGTGAGTTTTCATCTATCGAGGTGCAACCTCGGCTAGCTGTACCCACAATTAAGGGAGCGATGGGCCCCAAGATGTGACCCAGTTAGCACAAACGGTTCAAGTTTACTTTGGCTTTGAACATGGTGCTTAAGTGTGTGTCTCCGAGCTCTCGCTAACGACCGGTAGCTCAAGCGCTGTGTACGCTCGCCTAGGCTGGATCACAGCTTTTACACTCAGAGTCCCAGTACTCATTTCTTCGCAGATTTGACCACCTCAGTTACATTCGAGTGTTAGCGAAGCATCAGTAGAATAGTTGTGTACCTCACAAATCTTTGAATTTCTGTTTCCTTCGATTGCATAATATGGGTTGCGGCTCCCGAGGTACTGTCTATGGGATTATAATTCAATACGATATAAAAACCGCACATAGGCACTTGTTTGTTGGTTTCGATTAAACTTTGCACTTGTACCAAGCATTCTTTTCAGTTGTACGATCTCAAATTCCTTGTTCGATGTATGTGGAGAACTTAACGCGAGTTCACTGTGACAGTATAGGTCCGTATCTGCTTCATCTCTCCTCTTCTCTTTAACTTCTGCTTCGGACAAATCCTGGTTTACTCAGAATCGGCTGGTGGCCGAATGGCTTACACGCCTGCCAGTCAACGGTTCAAGTAGGCACGGACTACCTCGTTGTATTCACAGCGCACGCACGACCGGTGGTGGTCACATGGCAGCTAATCGTCGATACGATATGCCGGTGTACTGCTGATGGATTTTTAAACTTTATTCGGTTGACTCAAGATTTATATTCTTCATCTAACAGATTGTGAAATCTGCCTCTATACGGTTCCGGTTGAATCGATCTCGTCCTCGGCTCACTTCGAATCCCAGACAAAAGCAAAGATCAACGCCTGGAGGCAAAGCATGCTACAGAAGCAGATGCCGAAATAGGTGCAAAATTAATGAGCATTTATTGGTCGACCCAGAAATGTTCATGTTTCAGAACAGCTGAGTCAGTTGCCCTGAATGTTACTTCAGTTCCTCTAGCCAGTAGGGAAGTAGGTACGCGCGTCTTGCCGTGGACGCGAATGTTCCTAAAACTACTTGGTGCTTCGGGTGTACACTATCGGACTTAGGTAAACATGCGCATGGTGTAGCCGGATCCGGTTATCATTCGATAGTTTCTGATACGGTTCATTGTGAGCACTAAGTGCCTCTACACCTGTCTCTTACTTTCAGAGTACAATGTGCTAATATTCCTCGTCATCACTGAATCATTTACTTAAGTGGTACTATCAACTCCAGTATTCAACTCACCCACAGACGCTATGCAAATCAGTAAGACCTCTGTCACGGTTCAATGACCTGTAGTTGGGTGTACCATGCCACCGGTAATACCGGTGCCGCTTTATGAGTAAAGGATACGGCCACTGCTCGTCGAACGCTGATGGTTCTGGTCCACCGGTAGCCCGATATGGGTACCAGTTGAGTAGTATTGAGATCCACCAGCTGTCGCTTGGCCAGACCCTCTGTCCTGTGGTTGTATGATTCTAGCCAGTCTTATTTATTTAAGTCTTTTAACTCTGGCTAGTGGTTTTTTTTGATAGGTCCAGAGATGATGATATCTACCATTCACCTTACACGCACCGTCGAACGTCATCGGCCTTCGGCAATCCGCACGTTACCAGCACACCCATCGTTTTGGTTAGTTTGGGACCGACTTCGTTTTAACTTTCGGTGTTTTGCTACATTTAGATCATCCATTTTTTGGTACATTAGTCTACATGTGGATTGCTGGTTTGTGTTGCTCTTCATTTTTTCTCTTGCGTCATCTTTTGTGCTCCAATCGCCATCGTAATCCGAATTCACGTGCTCTGTTTACATCACTCTTTCATCTCCTTTTTATAATCACCTATAAGATGACTTGGTCGCCTTTTTAACTGTGCCCTGGATACCCGTTTTGTATATCTGGAAAGGGAAATGTGTTCGCACTTTATGTGCATGTTTCGAGGGATGGAGTTCGCGACGTGACCGAGAGTCAGGTACGACACCATACCGCCTACAACTTTATTCATCGGGACTACGATATCTGAGAGCTCGTGCCGCTGCGAAGGGTACCAACTAGACTTTCCTATAAGGTTGATTACGGAGTGGTTCACTGAAAGCCAGGAGAAGCCGATCACCCCGTTACTATTCACCCTTCGCACAACAGTCCGTCATATGTCACTACGCTGTCTTCAAGGTGTGACACCTTGTTCGCGGGGTCTAACGCTACTTTAGATCTTTTTCATATTCGTCTATATAGACCTGTGATTGTGTAACTGCGAAGCACCAGATTAGGGTATTTGCACACCTGTTGCATTCAATTGCACGCACAAGTCAGTGGCTACATAAAAAAGCGATACCGTCAAGTCGGTCATGCATATCCGTGCTTCTGCTGGTAGTCTTGCCAAATTTCGATGACAATTTGTTTTATGACCTTGTCTCGAACCTTATTAAAGTCCCGTTATCTAGCTTCATTTGTACCGTACCGCTGCTTCGGACTGTCCTGCGTCCTGTTTTGTTTTGATTTCTTTGAGTATGAACACTGCTATTGTGTTTTTGAGCGGCTTAAAACGGCATCAGCTGTACCCCGGTACGCCACATCGACACTTCGCTGCCACGCAACCACCACCAGTCGTGTGAGGGCTAAGGATACTGCGAGGGTCGCCCGGTTCCCTTGCACGCTCGAACCGACGATCTCCGGCTGGCTTACCTTAGCTTGCTTCCGATCCTTATTATGGGTTCTCTGCTTTTATCTCATCGACCTTTTATATTCCTCATATACTAACCGTTTTAACTGGGATTTCGACCGAAATTACTTTCCAGATACCGACACCACCGACAGCGACTTCCCCGTCGTCGGCACGTGGACGCCTTACACGAAAAACAATTATGAGAGTTCAGATAAACCGTTCGACGGAACTGGTGAGAGCATCGTCAGTGTTATACTAATATTTTCCGTCACGTGCCAATCTAGTTTGTTCTTAGAATTTGCATTCTGTTGCCTTTTCCTCATCATTTATGGCACCTACTCCTTGCACACTTAAGGTAAGTTGGGTTTCACCATGAGCACAAATTTCTCCCACTACCCTCTATTTCACGGGTGAACTTATACGGTTTAAATCCAGACAATTTACCTGCATCCCTTGCTGGCGTTTGCTTTTCGCACCTGCGACTAAGTTACGAGTCCCCGAGTTGTTGATTTTCATACGAACCTCCGCAGTGACATCCTGTCCTTGTCTACCAGATTGATGTTTATTTAAGCGATTACTTTTTTACTCATTAATAGGAGATTTTGTGATTCTAGTGTATTCGTACTAGCAGCTCATAAGCTGCACAGCAAAATCCCCAACTGGAAAAGCACCAGACGCGCGTTTCGTCTTATTGGCGCTCGTCAGTGCTGCGCATCCGGTCCCCTACTGGGGATCGAACCCATGACCGCTAGGCGCTGACGCCAATCAGCCAGCAGCTTAAGCCACTGAGCCATGGGGGACGGTGGTTAGGTTAGATAATTTGCAAGCTAACTGGGATATACCATGACCTATCTTCCACTACCACACAGGTGCCTACCAGTGCAGGTGACAGTGGCTAGCCTCCGAGATCATAACATCCTCTCACTAGACGCTATGTCCATAGCATTTGAAACTTTGAAGGCTACCTATATCCCAGTTAGCTTAAAAATTATCTTGCGCAACCACCATCCCCCATGGCTCAGTGGCTGATTGGCGTCAGCGCCTAGCGGTCATGGGTTCGATCCCCAGTAGGGGACTGAAGGATGCGCCGCACTGACGAACGCCAATAAGACGAAACGCGCGTCTGGTGCTTTTCCAGTTGGAGATTGTGCTGTGTAGCTTGTGAGCTGCTAGGACGAACGTTTTTAGCTTCGTTTCACCATACTCTCTGCTTCAGAATTATCACAATTAGCTGCGTTTCGTTTTTCATGTCTCTATGTATCCTTTTAGTTTGTCCACGTATAAGATATGCAATTGAGTTGTGAAACCCGGGCTTCCTTCTTATACTTTGACTTTTACTTCCCTACATCGTTTGTCTTCCCCATTGCATTGTGGGTCGGGCACAAACAAAACCCCTTTCTCGAAATGGACGCTCGAGGAGTATCATCTGCCCTCTTGATCCCGCCGGCGATATCACTTCTGGCTTTTCTCTTTTGCCACTTTTCCTCATTTAGTAAGCGACTGCAACTGATGTCGATGCTGATGCGATTAATACATGTAAATCCTCCTTCAGACGAAGGTTGTCATTTCACATGGGATCGTTCAACATTTGCACTGTAGATCGGATCAGCCAACAGACAGAACTCTCACCCTTTACTCTCTTGATACTGATCTGTGCTATGTGTCATACCAAATAACATCGTTGTGATGAATCTTCGACTCCCTGATTCTGAATCTGCCCACAATGACTGTACTTCACATCTCTGACGATACTGATGATGCTGAAAGCTATCTACTCGGCGGAACACCAGAGAACACTCGTATGACTGTGTTTCGACTTTGAACCTCCTGAAGACAAGTTAACTTCCTCGCTTCCATTTATGCACGCGTCAGCTGGGAGTATGTAGGACGATTTCTGTCCTCATCTCTTGTCAGTATTGTTGTGTCCCAAAACCCCCCACACTAGGCTTCTGCATAAGCAGGATCTTGGATCACTACAAGCGGAACCCACTAACGAAAACAACACGGGGCGGACACGCTCTGGACATTATTCACATAAGTGAGACAGGTAAGGTACAGGCATAGTGACTTTGCCAATGATCCACAGATGACGCTCATCCAATCGTTTGCAGGCTGCGGTGCGTGTTAGACATGACTGATAGGCGCTACATCACCCCCTCCCTAAATGAGCGCATCAGCATGAATGACACTTGAGCTGCTAGGTCTCCTGCTTTGGATCTCGTTTTTGGACATTGACTCTGTGTTCGGTTGTAGTGCTGAGTAAAACTGTCTGGCGCCAACATGGCGGCCGTCTTCAAGCTTGTACATTCCTGGCCCTAACGTCCGAGTAATTCTGATGGGGCGCGATAATGCTGGGTGTCCTTTACATGTCTACCTTTCTTTTAGCCAGACTAATGTCCTGGGACGCAACGGTATGGATTGCCTTTCGGAAGAGGAATGATAACCTCGGCGACGCTCCCAATGGTGAGGATTACTGTTTTCCGTAGTCGAAATAGCTGCGTTTGACTTCGTGCGTAGCTTCCTGCCGAACATTAGCTCCCCTGGCGTGCGATCGGTCGCTCTGTGGTGCGACGTTCTGTGGGTAAACAGAGCCTCGACTACGGCACCTTCCTAATACATGCCGGACGAACGTGCTGTCTGTATACTTTCCTTTAGCGAGCGATTTGTACGCTCAATCATTCCGTTGGCAACTGGATTGTACGGGACAGTTCGTACGTGTTTCACATCGTGAAGCTGTAAGAAATGTCGGAACTCGTAGTTTGTGAATTGCGGTCCGTTGTCCTTCACAATTACTTCGGGAAGCCCAAATCTTGCAAACAGATGCTTCAACCACCTTGTAACGGTTGAAGTGTTCACATCGCCACAAAGGTGAATTTCAGGCCACTTACTGTAAAAGCACGTTGCCACTAAACAGTTTCTCTGGTGCTTCGGCGCAGAATAGAATTGTCCCATGATGTCATTCGCCACCTTCGACCAAGGTTTCATTGAATAGACGATAGGTTGGATGAGTAAATCGATCGGCTTAGAGCTCTTGTCGGCGTTCTGACACGCATCGCAAGACCGGACACACGCCTCTGCCGTTTTAGTCATTTTCGGCCACCAAAAGTGTTCTTACAGCCGGCGCTTCGTTCGTACGATACCTGAATGTCCTTCGTGTGCACATTGGATAATTTTTGGCGTTAGTCTCTGTGAAGCCACAAATCTAGATCCTCGCATAAGGCAACCATCAATGACCGCTAACACAGGTCATACAACATGAAACGCCCGTAGTTCCCTACTGAGCTTCGTGTAGCGAGGCCAGGCTTGAAAGTGGTAGCGGAAACTGCTGGTACATTTGGGTCAATTTGGTTAGCTTCTTGAAGCTCTTACTTAGTTACGGCGAAAAGCTCATTTGAATGTAAAGCGGAAACCATGACTTTTTCTTCGTCGTCCTCCATCTTGTCGGAATTGCCCAATGGAAGAAGTGATAAGCTATCTGCCATATAGTTTTCAGAGCTGTCGAAATGTGATTTGAAATCCTAATTCATTAAACGCGCATATCAACGGTTAATACGCAGTGGTTTATAACCATTGCTTCCTCAACTGAGGAAGATAGAGCAGCGTGATCAGTACGCAATGTAAAACTTCGACCGAACAGGAATAGGTGCCATTTTTCACAGGTCTAGACATAGACAAGAACTTCCCTTTCACCGGCGAATTATGAAACCTTTGTAGCGGACAATTTTCTAGAGGCATGTGCAGTCACTTTTTCCTCTCCGTACTGCATCCGCGACAGGGCCGCTCATAAACCGATGTTTGACGCATCCGTCAAGATGAACGTAGGACAGTTTTCATCGAAAATGGTCAGCATTGGTGAAGAGGCGTCTTTTAATTTCTTCAAAGGCAGACTGCTGTTCAGAGCCCCAGCCGAAGGTGGTATTTTCTTTTGTCAGCATTCTCAAGAGCTCCGCTAGAGTAGCCAGATCGGGCAAATAGCGTATGTTGTACGAGCATAGGCCAAGAAAATGCTTAACCTCAGATGCATTCTTCGGTATAGGGGCTTCTGTGATAGCCCGAGTATTAGCGGTGCATGGTCGGATTCCACCGGATTGTAAGATGTACCCAAGGAATTCGACTTTAGTAGCACAAAATGCACACTTTTCAAGATTAAGCCGAACATCTAGGCTTTCCAACCAGTGTAATGCAGCGGCTAGTCTTGAGTCGTGCTCTTCTCTTGAAGTCCCGAAGACGCAAATATCATCCATGTAAGTGACTTATCCCAGTAGATCTGCTAATGAGTGATTCATGAACTTCTGCCAAGCTGCAGCAGCAGAGCTGAGTCCCATTGGCAAAACTTCGTACTGGAACGGGCCGCTCGATGTCAGAAAAGCCTTTAATAGTCTCGATTCTGGTGTCAAAGGCATGTGGAAAAAAGCCTTCTTCAGGTCCAATTTTGAGAAAAATCGTGCACCAGTTATATTGACTAGCAACTCATCAACTGTGGGAAGAGCGAACTTTTCGACGACGATCTGACTATTCAACGCCCACAAGTCATTGCATTTGCGCACAGTACCGTCCTTCTTTAAGACCGTGACCATGGGATGCACACACTCGGAACAGTTAATTGGCTCTACCAGATCGTTGGATCCCACCTCCTGTATGGCTTTCTCTACCATCGCACGTTTCGCTAACGGAATAGGACGTGGCTGCGATATAGAAAACAGCTTGGCGTCCTGTTTAAAACATATGCAATGAGCGACAGATGGAATCCCGCCAATCGTCTCGGTAAATAATTTGGGATATAAACCTTCAACCTCAGATGCATTGTGCCATGATGCGCATTCGATCGTTACGTGGCGTTATCTTAAGAGCGACTATAGTATTTCGCCCAAGCAAGGCTGCGCTGTTTTCAGATGCCACCTACACGTCAACGTCGGATGCGACCGACTGTAGACTAAGTCACTATATATCCACGGATGCACACAGGGGCATTGTTGTAAGAGTCAAATTTGTACGAAGTGGGATGCAATGGAATGTCATGTAAGTTTTTGTCATAAAAGCTAGATGGAATAATTGTTATTGGCGATGCAGGATCTAATTTTATCGCAACTGGCACAGTGGTGTGGGGGCCATGGAGCATATCTACGAATGTCAGGGGAAGGGAGCCTGGGCTCCATCAAGAATGTTTACCGGTCGTCTGTCTGATGAAACTTACTAACCGCAAAAAATTTTCCGTAGCAGACGCAGAAGGAG